TTTTCCTGGCAGTCCATGGTACATTCAGTACTATGTATATATATTTAAATTTTTTCTATCTTAAAATTTTTTGTTGGCTTTAATACTATTAGTCTACATTGTGTTTTATTCATATATACATTTTATACAATAAATCATTTACATTTTGTCTCATATAAGCATTCATATATAGTATCGTTTATATAATTATTACCACATATTTATGCCTATTATTACCCTATCTTTTCTAGTCTCCACTGAATCTTTCCTATGCTTTATCAATGATCCTGAATCTCCCATTAATCTCTGTCATCCCAGTGATTTCCCCCGCTCACCATACTCTGTCCCTCTGCTCACCTCTCCTTCCTCTTTTGGCTTTTTATACATATCTTACTATAGTTTATCTACACGAACTACAATTATCCTACTATTTTTACAATAATAGTCTTACACAGTATTTGTCCTTATGCAACTTTTTAACTCAGCATAATTTTATCTAGACTCTCACAGGTCATACAATATTTTATAAATTGTTATTCCATAGTGCTGCATAGTATTCCATTGTGTAAATGTATCACAGTTTCTCTTTCCATTTGTTTATTGATAGACATTCTGGCTGTTTCCATATTCTTGCTATTGTGAATTGTGCTTCTGTGAACACGGGTGTACATATCTCTGTTCGTGTCTCAGTGCTAATTTCCTTGGGGCATAATTCTAGCAGTACAATAACAAGGTCACATGGGATTTCCATGTTCAACTCTTCGGGAAAATGTCAAACTTCTTTGCAGAATGGTTGTACCATTTAACAATCCCACCAGCAGTGCAGAAGAGCTCCAACCCCTCCACATGTTCTCCATTAATTGCTTACCATCCTGTTAAACTTTGCTACTGCTAGTGGGGTACAATGGCATCTCATTGTGGTTTCGATTTACATTGTTTTATTGGCATTTGAGTAAAAGTTTACGGGGGGGGGGGGGAAGTGGCTCCCAATTGATGATTCCTATACCTTTTAGTTCATGATATTGATTGTAATCCTCATGATGTAATAATACTCTTCTCCCCTTGTTTACTATTTGTTTTAACCTTTCCCACCTTCCCTTGCTTTCTAATCTGTAGCCACAGACAAAGGCTGCCTTTCGCTGTCCTGAGGTTGGTTGTTCTAAGGGGTGAGTACTTCCTGGTGACATGATGCCTGTAGAGGGCAGTCCATTGTTTGGCTGAAAGCTGAGCTCTGGGAGTGAGTTCCCTGCCAGGCTCCTAGGACATCTAAAGACCCTAGTCTTTAGACAGAATTGCATTAAAGATCTATAAGTCTGATCAGTTTGAAGTTTTTTTGTTGTTTTTTTTTTTGGATGCATAGTTTGAGGTTTTTTGTGTGTGTTTTCTTTTGCTATTTTGAGTTTTACTTCACATTTTCCTTCTACTCTATTCAGAACTTTCTCTTGTGATCCCCTTCAGAGCAGTTAGCAGGGGTAGTCAGGTATTATCAAGTTCTTTCCTCAGAGCCATAGAACATGGGTTTTGCACAGTATATTAGTTCTCTGAACCAACTGTTTCGATGGATATATCATTTTATTCACCCTACTTTGCTCCAGACAGTGAGGCACCAACAGTTGTACCTCAGAAGGCCACTCACATACTTCTGTGCTCTTCATCACAGTAATGCGTAAAACACTATCCGAGTGCATAGAGGATTGAACTGCTCAATTCAAAGGCAGCACCTGCCTGGCAGTTTGAATCCAATAGCTGCTTTTTGAGAGGAAGATGGGAAATGTCTTCGCATGTACTTTACAGTCTTGGGAATTCACTGGAAGGTCAGTTGTGAGATAACTCCAATTCAATGGCAATGAAATGAGGTAAGAGTAGAATCATAATCATCTGAGAAAAGTTTCTGAGCCCCCAGGGACAGTGAACCATTCCTTCAAAATGTTTGGTTATGGTTAAGAAGTTTTCATAACTCTGACCACTTTGTACTCTATTATACGTATGTAGAGTGGTAAGGTACTATCCACATCCATTCAAGGAAGACCAGTTACTATCACCTACAACACAATTATCATGCAAACAGGCACACAAACAGCTAAAGCCAAAGAGGAGGAACATAAGGATTTTTACCTAATTTTGCAGTCCAAAATTGACCAAACATACAATCAAGATGCATTAACGATAACTGCTGACTGAAATGCAAAAGTTGGAAATAATGAAGAAGGAACAGTAGTCAGAAAGTACAGAGCTAGTGAGTGAAATGAGGTCAGGTATCATTGGATAATCACATTTTATACATTTGATGATTAATTCAATGCAACTAGCTTTTAAAAAAACAAACAAACAGCCTTTGAGCCCCGGTGCGCCTGCCTGTGGTGCCGGGGGTTACGCTGCTACGCAAGAGCATGAGTTCGCACATAACTGGGGCCCCAGCCCGCTGCGGGCAGCCCTTTTAACCACTAGTGACACGGCGGTGGACCAGGCCTCTGCTGGGGTTCGCCTCTTGGGTCTCAATTCTTAGGATGATCCCTTTGGGAACGGATAGTAGGCTCCTCGACTAATTGCGTTTTCTGTGTGTGCTGTCATCTAATAAACTTTAGGTGTTATTGCAAATAAAAAAAGTTTTGCGTTTAATCACAAAAAAACAAACAAACAAACAAAAAACCAACAGCACATAAATGGCTACTTTACACATTGACCTAACCTGATTGACTTGCGCAAGAATCAGAGTGACTATCTATTCAAAGAATCATTAGAGAAGTTAAAAATCGGCAGGTGGAACAGACCCTCAATTACTCATGAGTAAGTTCAAACTGAGGCTAAATAAAAGTAAATGCAAAAGAACCAAATACAAACTGGATAATATCCCACCTGAACACAAATATAAAATGAATATATAAATATAAAAATATAATATAAAAATCATCTCAGGAATCTATTTGAGAATTTAATACCAATGAACAAAAAAAGGCCAGGTGAAGGATGACATCAAGGATATTATCCATGAAGAGAGCAAAAGGTCATTGCAAAGACAGAAAGAATGATAAAAAGAAAATTCATTTCAGAAGAGACTGGAAAATTGCACTAGGGTGTCAAGAAGCCAAAACAAGGGGAAGAAATGCTGAAGTAAAAGAACTGACCAGAAGATCTCAAAGTGCAGCTGGAGAAGACAAAGCAAAGTATTATAACAGAATTTGCAGAAAGCTGGAATTGGAAAATAAAAAAGAAAAAACTTGCTCAGCAGCTATCAAGCTGAAAGAACAAAAAAACAAAAAAAACACAAAAAACAAATCCAAGCCTGGAGTTGTAATACTGAAAAATGCTATTAGGAAAATCTTTAATAATACAAGAAACATCGAAAGAAGATGGAGGAAATACACAGAATTACTGTACCAAAAAGAATTAATTGACACTGAAGTATTTCAGGAAGGACCATATGATTAAGAGGCAATGGTAATAAATGAAGACATTCAAGCTGTGCTGAGGTGTTGGGGGAAAAAAACCTTCCCAGGAATCCATTGGATACCAACTGATATGTTTAAAAAAAACCAAAAGTAACCCTGGACATGCTCACCAATCTATGCCAGAAAATTTAGAGGACAGCTGCCTGGCCAACTACCTGGAAGAGATACATATTTGTTCCCATCACCATTCCCAAAAAAAGTGATTCAGTAGAATGTGGAAAATATTGGATAATATCATTAATATCACATGCAAGCTAAATATTGTTGAAGATAATCCAAAATTGGCTACCATAGTACACTGAAAGAGAACTGCCAGTTCAAGCTGGTATTGGAAGAGGCCATGGTATAAGAGACATCACAACTGCTGTTATATGGATCCTGGCTGAAAGCAGAGAATAACAGAAGACTATTTGTGCTTTATTTTCCATTAAAAAAATTTGACTGTGTGGATCATAACGAATAAGGATAACACTGAAAAGAATGAGAATCCTAGACACTTAATTGTGATCATGTGGAAAATATACCTAGAACAAGAACTTGTCTAAACAGAGCAAGGG